GGACAGAACTAACAGAAGACTGAAATAATGTTTTATGACTTTATATCTCAAACATTTGCTGATTCTTTCTGTTTTGTTTTCTAGAGTCAAGAAAGTGTTCCCTTCTTTTAAGCTATTTACGGCTTTTAACAATTGAGTAAAGTATACTCTAATAAGAAAAATTTAAAACAATTCCTTTTTTTTCAAACTAATTGCAATTGTTTCAGAATTTGGAAAACATTTGGTGAACATCCTTAGTTTATGACAATGTATCTCTGTGCATAAGTTCAATAAGAATCTATTTTCTTTCATAGCAGGACATAATTGGGGACATTGGTGATTTTATCAAGGCTTTGACTGTAATGACATTTTCAGATTGCCTTGAGAAAATGAGGCTGACCTATAAAGCCAATAAAAGCCCCTTGGAAAAACTGGGATCATACATTGTTATTTGCAGGGTCCTGACCTGTGGTAAGTAAAGAGTGTCACTTTCTGACAAGTCCAGGAAACTCGAGTTTTCTTGAGACCTTGAAAAAAAAGGAATTCACCCAATTCACACAGGTATCTGCAGACACAGTGAATTCTTAGCTGGGCTCAAGGCTTTTAAAAAGCTCAAATCTTAGATGTCTTATGAAAAGCTTCCAGCAAAGCCAATTTTATAAAGAAAAAGAGAGAGCCTGCATGGCAAATGATTATTCTTGCTGTACTTTATGCAAATAATCAAGCCAAGTATAGTAAAACTAAAACTTATTTTAAACATAAATTGTTCCTACTATGATTTTGTCCTGAATAAAAGTTGAAAATTGGAGAGAGAAAAATTACATTTCAAACTAAACTATAGTACACCTGTTATTAGATTCTAGTCTTGCCTAATGTTTCTGGCTTTTATTATTTTCCACAATTTAGACTGAATTCTAAAATTTTTCCTGGCTACAAGTCTCCAAATTAATGCTTTCAATGTTTTCCCTTCTTTTTTTTCCTTTTTTGTTCATTTTTCTTTAATTGAAATCGCTAGGAATTAAGCTGTGCTCTTCTTAAAGCCATGCAAACAAACTAGACAACTTAAACTTTGGAAGAAAATAATAGCAACCTATTTAAGTACATAAACCACTTTTATACCTGCCTACTGATGTATGAACTTCAGAGTAATACAGCCTATATCAGTTTTCCAAGGCTGTTTTCACTTTTTGTTTGTTTGTTGTTTTCTTTCTCTCTTCCTCTCCCATTTTTTTTTTTCTTTCTGGGATGTGAGACCTTACAATCTGCTATAAATGAGCTTTCCTAACAATGTGGGACCTGTCTGTCTAGGAATAAACTGTCCTAGCCATGAGAGATCAGACAAAAGCAGAGACTCATTTTTCTTCTAAAATGCTTTCTCAGAAAGATTTTAAAAAGAAAAAGGCAGCAAAATGTGAAAGGAAAATAAAAACAACTCCAGTTCACTTTGCTAAAAGAAAAAAAAATTAAGCTGAAAGCTAAGTCATGCAAGAAGCTGACTTTCCTATTGTTTCTAAGTAGATAGCAACAGATAAAAGGCTAAACATCTCCACAGGCAGCTTCTCTATGTTCACCTTATATAAAGTGTGCTGGTTTACTGAGCATGAGACAAATACACAATTGACTATTTCTCTACCTGCTACCTGCTCCTTTTCTCTTGTAACATATGGATTATCACACCTTCCTTTTCTCTCCTCTCGCCCACTTTTTCCCTTTAAATATTGAAGCCCTCAAAATCATCTTTGAAGTAAGGCACAGACTACAGACTGTTTCTGCAATTCCATTTTCATTTGTTCCTGGTATGTCCTTAGCCTTAGCAAATAAATTACTAAATTGATTGAGGACCTGTCTCAGATACTTTTGGGTTTAGACCACATTCTCCTTGTCCTCATCTTTTTTTTTTCTTTTTTTGAGATGGAGTCTTGCACTGTCACCCAGGCTGGAGTGCAGTCGTGTGATCTCGGCTCAGTACAAACTCTACCTTCCAGGTTCAAGCGATTCTCTTGCTACATCCTCCTGAGTATCTGGGATTACAGGCGCCCACCATCACACATAGCTAATTTTTTGTATTTTGTATTTCACCATGTTGGCCAGGCTGTTCTCGAACTTCTAACCTTGTGATTCACCTGCCTTGGCCTCTCAAAGCACTGGGATTACAGGTGTGAGCCACCACACCCAGCCTCCTTGTCCTTAAGTGAGCACTGGAAAATGTGTTCTCCTTAGAGTCTGAGCAGCTTTCTCAAATAACTTCCTGTCCACAGAAGGTTGAAGCCCCATGATCACTTCAAGTCTATTTATAGTTTCCTTTAGTCTTGATTGATAGATATTTTGGCATGTCTCTCAAAAATTTAGTCAGCTTCTTCTATATTTGATTCAAGCCAGCTCCACATACCATGATTGTGTGTCTCCACTGTACTGAGTTACAACTTTCTCTTTTACTTCTTTCTTGTAGGTACCTTGAATCTATTAAGCTCTGTCATGGGAAGATCTGTACCATTTTGTTCAACTGCAAAGATTCAAGGAGTACCACTTTAATCTATTCCAAGGTTTTAGTCATGGGTGTGATCCTTGCCAAGAGGTTGGGTTCTAATCGCCTTTGTTGTTCATCTCAGTTTTGTTTTTCAATGAATAATAATGAGAATTACTTGCATCTTCTAAACACGTGTGTCTCCAAATTTATAGCTCCCTATAATCACTTTCATTCCTAACTGCAAGCTGGACAATTATTTTCCGAACTTATCGTTTCCTGTAGCATTGAGGGAGGAGGATAGGGTCTGGAGGCAAGGAACCTAAGGCCAATTCACACTGACTTCCTAAAACTAAATCGAAAGGAAAACTCCAACTTTCCATGCCCAAATAACAAAAGGACTCGAGGCTACGCCCTTTGCAGCCCCCATCTTTTCTGCATGACAGATAAAAAATTGCAACTACCCACACACTGGGGTCTGTTGGAGGGGTGAATAGGGGAGGGACAGTGGGGGATGGGGAGTTGCGGAGAGATAGCATGGGGAGAAATGCCAGATATAGGTGATGGGGAGGAAGGCAGCAAATGACACTGCAACAATAGCATCATAGCAGCGTAGACAGAGATGATGACAGTGGCAAGGGTTGAGAGGGATATCTGAGGATGCAGGCAGTAGTAAGTAGTGAATATGGCAAGAAATGAACAAATTTAAAACATATTTTGAAAGATTTACTGATGGATCGAATAAGCAAAAAGTTGAGAATGGAAGAGTGATTATGACTCCCACGTTTCTGGTTTTAGTGATAGGGTGGTTGGTACTGCCATTTACAGAGATGTATCGGGGATAACTAGGTTTAACTTCTACAGGAGACCAGATCCTATTCTGGACATGTTAAGTTTGAGAAATCCAAATGAGTAAGAAGTTAAATATAAGAGTGGATCACATAGGAAAAGTCTGGTTAGAGATTTTTTTTTTTTTTTTTTTTTTTAGATGATCTTGCTCTGTTACCCAGGCTGGAGTGCCGTGGTGCCATCATAGCTCACTGTGGCCTCAAACAATCCTGCGACAGCAGGTGTCTGCTACTGCACCCAGATAATTTTTTTAATCTTTGTGTTTTGTAGAGACGGTGTGTCATTTTGTTGCCCTAGCTGATCTTCCAGCCTTGTCCTCCCAAACTGCTACGATTACAGGCATGAGCCACTGCACCTGGCCAAAGATATAAATCAAGAGCTCTCAGCATGATGTAACTCAGAAATCACACAGGTGGGAGTGTGTTGGAGAAGAGATGGAGACTCCAGGACTTGCCTAAGAAACTCCTCCTTGAGATTTGTTTCCAGAAATGTATCACTGCTGGGTATGCAGACTTGTATTTCTAATTGTCAGGGAGTAAAATTAACAAATAACAATCTAGATAGCTGTTAATATTTGGAGGGATTTCTTTTAATTTGAAACCTATTTGCTATTCTATTCTAATTGACAGCAAAAAACTACATTTCCAAACACTATTGGTATCCCCATTCTGCACATGTCGAAAACTGAAGCGTAGGGTTCAGTAGAAGAAGGGGATTGAGTAATTTGCCCAACATGACACAAAATTGGCAAGAAGTGGGGCCTGTATTGGAAACTAAACAATTTGGCTCCAGAGTCTGTTCAGAACCCCTACACTGTATCGCAGTGGCAGTAAAGTAGCTTGGTTAATTTGTTTAGTGGGTTACAAAAAATAGATTATCTGTATATATATGAGTTATATATATAGTAATAGTTAAATATGTGTATATATTATGTGTATATTCTAGTTCCAAGAAGAGCTTTTATTGGATCTACGTTCATGTGTTCATGCTTGGATCACTAGAGTTGTCAGGAACAGTTCACCTGGTAGCTGTGCACCATGGCATTACAACTAAACCCTAGGAAGCACAGACCTGACTTCACCAGAACGGTTCTAGAGTTTCAAGTAAATTTAAAAAACGCAAATTGTACTAGACAATTTGGTTTGCTCCACTTTAAGGCATCAAACTGAATTCCTACTCCTGGACGTCATTTGCTGGTCAGGAAAAGGAGCTGTTTTTCTTTTTTTTCCCCTGCCACACACTAAAGTTTTTTGTTCCAGAGAACATTACACATAGTTAACATACTCAATTTACGTCGTAGTTTTAGGTGTCGAAGATTTCCTTGAGGGCAGGAATGGCGTTATTCTACCGTTTCTAGCCCAGTAATACAGGATAACAGAGAGAGGGAAGGTAGGGTAGGGAGGGAAGGGGAAAAGGAAGGAAAGAAAGGAGTTCAAACCAAACACTTTTACTATACATTTTTAGAAGCTGAGCAAGGTGCCCTCCAAGACTGTTTTTTAAAAAGTTAAGCTTTTAAAACTTTAGGTGCAGAAAGTCCTAATCCCATTCACAATACCTCTCACTCTCCCTCTACTCGCAGTCTGGACCTCCTCTGGGCCCGCTTCTCTCAGCCTCCCGGTCCCGCCCACTTGTCCGTGGCTCCTCCCCTCCGCACGGGCCACCCCTGTACATTGCTCATGCCCAGTAGTGGCGCCGGCGTCGCAGGCCTTAGAGGCGGGGCCCAGAGAGGGGCGTTCCGCGCAGAAGAGGAAGAGGAAGTTGGGGGAGGGTCCTAGGGGGGAGTGAACCGGAAGTGTAAAGGTTCCTGCTTCTCGGCCAGGCGGAACCTGCTCTGCTGGGCCCCGTGGCCGCAAAAGAACTTTCTTTCTCCCGCCCGAACGGAACGGTAGCAGCGGCCAACTGCCTCGCCCGCCTGGCAGCCTAACCCGCCCTCTCTTCTTCTCTCCGGCTTCGCGCGGCCCTGCCTCCCTCTTGCCCGGCGGCATCCGCTTGCTGCTGCCACCGCCTCCTCATCTTCTGCCCGGCCAGCCGGCCTGCCCCGCTGCAGTGATGTGCGACAAGGAGTTCATGTGGGCCCTGAAAAACGGAGACTTGGATGAGGTGAAAGACTATGTGGCCAAGGTAAGCGGGGATGAGAAGAGTAGGCGAGAACACGGAGGTGGGCTGGAGATGAGGCTGAGGAAGCTGATGGGAGCTGGACTGCGGGGATGGGGGTGGGCGGGAAGAGAGACTTCCTGGGTGGAGGCGGCACCAAGGAGAGAGGGGCGTCGAGGGAGGAGCTAAACTGAAAGAAGGGTCCAAGTAACTTGGTAGCGTTCTGTGTCAGGTAACTGCTGTGTTCATACAGTCAGGCGCTACTTGACATCCTGGCCTCTTGGGGGAGGGGGGAGTGGTGTCTGGCTCATCCAGAGTCTCTTCTGAGCGCTGATCATTTGAGTTTGGCCCTCTTGTACACCAAAGTTACTTAAACCTTTCTTTGAATGAGGTGGGTCTCCATCTTGGACTTAGCCATTACTAAATGAAGTAACCTAAGTAATTAGGATCAGAGGAACATTTTGTTTAACGCTGAGCCTGGTGTGAATTTAAAGAATTCATTGACCGTGAAAAGAGTACTGAAAATAGCAGTAGTTAAAATTCTGAAACTTGGTATCACTTCACTGTGGTGTCTTAACTTTGGGTGTGGCCTTTTTCCTTTTCCCCCACCACAACAAATACATATTTGGCATCTGGGAATGTTTAAGATATCTGGATAGTTTTTAAACAAGCATGCTAACTTTAGTTATTCCATTCTTCTCCCTGATTTCACCTGAAATGCTTACACTTGTAGTAAATAGCAATGCGGTTTAGTGACAGTGTATTTAGGGGTAAAATAATGATGAAGAAACCCAAACTCAAACCTCAGCCCCAAATATAAAACTGAATCCACATTGTGGCAGAGTGGGAAACTTAAAATTCCAAGCTAGCCTGCCTTTCCATCCTAAAACTGTGCCTTTTGTAATTATGAGAGAACTTAACATATGATTTTAATTTGGGGATAATCTAAAAGAGTCTTCCAAAACAAGTATAATTTTATGACAACCACGGATGGCATCTTCCTCATCTTCTAAAAGGGTGAGAATTCAGGCTAGATTTTAACTTTTAAACGAATAGGACCTGACCTGGGTTTTTTCTTCAGGGTTTTTTGCTTCAGAGGTATGTGTTAGAAAGCAAGTAAGCAGAAGCAGTTTCTTAAAACTTACAGGATTCTGCAAGGCAAACTGCTGATGGCTTTTTATGTTATTTACTCTCATTACAATTTAGACTTTTTGGGTGCTGCTTACCTGCTTAGTTGTTATTTGCAGTGGATTTTTAGGACAGGCTGTCTTCTAGTCACTACCTTCGTAGCCGACTGAAACCTGACTTATTGGCTATTTTACTATAAAGTTAAAAGGAAGAAATTACTTGGAACACTTACCAGTGACAGGACACTGCAATACTCTGGAAGTGAGTGGGCTTTTGTTTTCCTGCCATGGTGGAACCTAGGTTATTTGATACACTTGAAATACAAAAAATTGATTAAGTACTAATTGAACTTGCAGCTACCAAAATAACACAATTTATTTAGCGTTTTCCTGACACATTACTTTATGTCCTCCTTGTGACTATTGTGAAGTAAGTCCTATTATTGGTCCCATTTTACAGATTACTGAGATGCAGGCTACTTAAGAAAAGTTACGGACATGGTAAATTGTGAAGTAAGAACTAAATTGCTGACTCCAAAACTGAAACTCTTGAACTGCCCCATGCAATATCTTTCAGAGATCTAATTGTCAAAGCATAGCATGCCAAGATTTCTAGTAGGAGATTCCCAAGGTCCACATTCAGGCAGATAAATTGTGCCCAAAGAATTCTCAACTACACAAAAATATTTGTATGAAAATATGTGCCAATAAAGACGGATTAATTTATTTCCAATTAGTTTTATAATTAGGTTATCATGTTCAGTTTTCTTTTTTCCCCTATATTACTACTAAAGCCTATTCTTCATTAATATAAAAAATGTTCATAAGAGGGAGGGTAGACATTCAGAAAAAGCAAAAGGAAGTATTGAAAACTGGACTATCCAAAAAATATGACTGTAACTGGTAACCTGATGTACAGAGCATTGAGCTTTATCCTTTCTTAGTTTTTATTAAGTAATGAAGATTTCATAAAGTATCTTTTACTTTGTTAATGAGAAATAATGACAAAACAAGCACTAAAGTTCGTATTGACTCAGCTTCCTAGTGGTGCCCTTCTATACTCTCAGGTCTTTATTAGTTTCTTCTGCTCCACAGTTCTCTCCCCTGCTTATTTATTGACTCACCTTTTTCATCTACCGATTTGTGAACAATGACTTTCTGAGTTTATGTAATGTGCGTCTATTTAAGTTGGTATGTGCAAAGAAAATGTCAAAGAAACATTTACACTTGTCTAGTCTTCATTCTTAGGGGTGAGAGTCCATTTAAAATACTCTCTTCAACATTCCTGTGAAGATCTCTCACACTGTTAACACAAGAATCTACCTGGAAGAGTAAGATAAGCATTTTAGTATTTCCCTCCTTCTCTTATTCTTTTTTTTTTTTTTTTTTTTTTTTTTTTATTTTTTTTTTTTTTTTTTTTTTTGTTGTTTGTTTTTTTGGAGATAGGGTCTTTGCTTTCTCGCCCAGGCTAGAGTGCAATGGTATGATCGTAGCTCACTGTAACTTCAGACTTCTGGGCTCAGGTGATCCTCCTGCCTCAGCCTCCTGAGCAGCCGGGACCATAGGTGTGCACAATGACAACCAGTGAATTTTATTTTTTGTAGAGACTGGATCTCACTTTGTTGCACAAGTCGCCCTCAAACTCCTAGTCTCAAGCAATCTTCTGGCCTCAGCCTCCCAAAGCCCTGGGATGATAGGTGTGAACCACTGGGCCCAGCCTTTTTTCTCTTTTTAAATTAGTATTTTTAAAAATGAGAAATTATACTTTTCTACCTGCTTCTGACTTCTCTCTTGAAAGGATATCCCTAAATCATTGGTTTTAGGTGAGTTCTTGAACTTAGAAAACTGAGTTCATAGTTCCCAAACCACTGAAAATTGTGTTTTGAAATGGAAAAGACAGTATTTAGAGAAAAATTTAGATTACTGCATTACATGTTCATATATAACCTTAAACAATATCCGAAGCAATTTTAAAGTCTTTCAGTGCAGCATTTGGCTTCTTGACTGATTTAAGGACCACATTTAGTTAATCATTCATTTTTATTGGGCATCTTTCAGGTTTTAAACACTTTAGAAGTCCTGAGATGATAGTAAAGAAGTTGGACACAGTTCTCAGGAGACATAAGCACCTATATTCAGCAGACCTATGTGAAAAAAGATTCAGACTTTTATAGCAGTATGCAAATTATAAATCACATCTCACTTTCATAAAATTCAGTTGTCCAGCTGGAAAACAAGTCCAAGCCAGAAAATAAGCTATTCATGAGAAGGCAAAACAGGTATTCATAGCCCCATTTTTGATCTGGATGTTTCTTTTGGGTGCCATTATTTTTGCCTTTGTCTTCCATTTCTGCTTTTATGTAAATTTCTCCTGTTGGAGTTAATTCTAGCCTCACCTGAGTTTCAGACTACGTAAGCTCTGTTCAGACAAATTTTAAGTTAAGCTGTTTTCCTCTCAGCTGTTTTTTTCTTCCTATTGTGTCTCCATTTTGATTAATGGCACCGTGACCCAACCATTTGCCCATACTGGAAACTAGGAAACTTTCCTAGATTTCTGAGGGTTACCAAGACTGCCTTCTTAGTCTTCCTCTTCCATTTCTCACTATCCTTTCTTCTTCTCACTACTTAGAATCAGTTGCTACTTCTTTCCAGCCTGGACTATGTTTTTCTTGACTATAAGAAAATAGTCAAAGAAAATACAGAATTTTTCTGAACAGAGATTACACAGTCTGAAAGTCAGGTGAAGCTAGAATTAACTCTAACAGGAGAAATTTACATAAAGGCAGAAATGGAAGACAAAGGCAAAAATAATGTTACCTAAAAGAAACATCCAGATCAAAAATGGGGCTATGAATATCAAGTCTGCTCACCTCAATCCCTGACTCCTCATCTGGTAAACTCCTGTTTACCCTGCTGGGGTAGGGTAAGTATCACCCCTTGCAGAAAAATATTTTGACTTCACATAGAGTGCTGCTGCTTTTACTGTTTTGCTCATCAGATTGCTGTGGTTTTCTTTACATGTCTGTCTTCATTAGGCTCTGAACTCCTGGAGGGTAGATAATATATTCTTTTTCATCTTTCTGTCTCCCGCATAATGCCAAGGAATTGTACACATTAAAAGCATGCTCCTAGTAAGAAATTTACTTTATTCTTAACTTAGCAATAATTTCAACATACTTCATTAGTTACCGAATAATAATTACCATTGACTGGATGACTTACATTGTCAGACTAGAAAGCACTCTGTCAGATGTTTCAACTAAGTTTTTATTTGCTTCTTACCACAGTGTTTCATTATACATAATAATCTCATTTTAAGGCTGAGGAACCTGAGGCTTAGGGAACTGAAGTAACTTGACAAGGTCACAAACTAAGTAGCATACCTGAAATTTAAACCCAGAACTGTCTGAATCTACAGGGGGACTGCGTGCGTTCTGATTCAGTCTACTTTGCATCTATTGGTTTTAGGCTCTGATTCAATCTACTTTGCATCTATTGGTTTTAGGCTCTGATTCAATCTACTTTGCATCTATTGGTTTTAGGCAGCTTCCTTTTTTTTTCTTCTTTATTAGTTTCTTTTTTATAAAAATGTGTTTTATAAAAATGTGTGTTTATAACCATACCAGTTTGCTTTGAAATTTTTTTTTTTTTTTTTTTAGCTAACAGCAGTTTAGAATTAAGAAAACAAGAAAGCAGCTTGTAAGAGGCAGGCAAAACTAATTAGCTCTGACTGTGAATGAAGACACAAATGGAGACCATACTTTAAAATTTTTAAATCTAACGATTTGGAAATAATTAGCATTGAGACAAGCATCTCTGTAAACTTAAACTGTGATCAGAGACTGTCATCACTCAAGAGGGACTAATAGCCTACAGAATATTTTTTTGTATTTATAGTCA